AGCAGATGACTGTTATACAAGGGCAGAAACAGGATCAGTGGGGGGAGGGAGGGGATGCGGAAGGAAGAGGCAGCACGATCGCCCGCCGGAGACGCTGGGAGCGCGGGGAACAGGACGTCGCCGACTGCAGTGGACGAGATCGGCCGCTAATCTGAAGCTCCCCACCGCCCGCGCGATAAGACTGGCAGTCCGGATGGCCTGGGAAAAATTGGACAAAAAAAAAGAAAACGCATCAACACAGCCTGACTCACCGGAGCACCAAAGTAGCAGGATCAGAGCCGGGGGCTCGGCGCGTGAGCCGGATCACAAGGGCGAGTGGTTGCGAGCGAGGCTGCGGTGAGTCGGTGACTCAGTTCGGCGAACAGCTGTAAGTCAATGATATGATGCTCAGCTGCGACGCTGCTGAAGATCTGGTCCTTCTGGCAATCCCTCCCCATCGTTAGCCAGCGAAACAACGACGTTGAGGGGACGAGGCTCGCTACACGTGTCTCCGCGGAGAGGGGCCTGGCTGAGGGGAGCCTGGCAGCTGTGAGGGGTAAAACAGCGATTCTCTTCGCAGCAAGCTTACCTGCAGCTTGGCCGATTATTTCATCATTCAGGTTTCAAGACCCATTCAATTGCCTGGAATGGGTGTCGTGCCTTTTATCTCTATATATACTCCGCACCCCTCGTACCTACATTCCCGACAAGCTCTCGAGCTCCAGGGGTCTTCTCCGCATTCCGGAAGAATAAATTACCTGGGTGCAGCTCGATGGACGCCATCACCAATCCTGTCATCCTGATTCTGGAACCCCTGATCGTAATAAAGCACCAGTTGGCCGTCGGTCTGCCTCGTCGATCCCGACCCTGCCCGCCCCGCTTCCTGCGCGCTCCGAGCTCTTCCTCCTGGCCGAGCACGCCCTCGTGCTATTCATTTTCCGCCAACCTCGGGATCTCGGGCCATTTCACGACGACTGTCTCGATCTGGACTCTCAATTGGAAGAATAGATGACGAGATCGCCATCAGGTCGCGAGCAAAGAAAAGACTCCTCCAGGACTTGGCCTGGAATAAAGTCACGGGCCGTGTTCTCGCCAGAAACGGCTTCTCCAAAACACAACGCTGGATTGCCCGATTCCAACCGATACAACCCGGTGCATTCGGAATCTCTCTGTCTACTGAGCCATTCTGATCTGGCACATTGCGGAGTTAGATTCTGCTCCAGGCGATATCATTTCCCCGTAAATTGTAATCGTAGTCTTGTCCTGGCGCCCCCAATCTACCTCCGGAGTAGATGTTGACCTAACTCGGAGACCATTTCCCGAACTAGCTTCGAAATATGCCGATATGTTGCTCTACTCTTTCTACGGGGTTCCTCGAGCATTCCTGCTCGCAGAAAGGTCCTTCGTAGACGCAAAATACAGTCCCCATTAGACTAACTCTCTCAGATACAGTGGAGTCAAAGGGAATAGCACGAAAAAAAAAGCCTTGGCAGAAATTGAAAACATGTATCAAATACACCGTGGCAAGAAGTACTAAAAAAGGTAAAAAGCGCAAATCAATCCATCGCACACCGCAGCCAAGAGCAGGCAGATCCCCCGTTCCAGTTCCTGTCCCGCCCACATGAACAACCTATGCGGCATCCACCGCTAGATTACATATGTCGAGATAGGTGCTGGGAGGTAGCAAAGACTCTCGCCTTGCTTAGAACGCACGGAACCCGGTCGCCTGCGGAGTGATACCGTTGGTCTGCTGGAACGGTCCCGGGCTGGGTGCGCTGGCCGGGCCCTGCGTGAGCATCAGTCGCGATCCCATGATGGGGGTGTGGTCCTCCTCCTTCTGCTGCGACTTCTCCCGCGCCTTCCGCTCCTCGTTGTCCTTCTTGAGCAATTCAATGGTGGCAGTCTGCTGGGCCAACATGTTGATCATGTACGGCATCGTAAAGTCATGCAGGCCATGGCGCCACGAGATTTCCAAGACCACGTCGGGGCGGATCAAGTCGTAGCAGGCATACAGCATACCGACGTAGCATTCACGGCTGCCAATGTCCACGAACTACAACAGACACCAGTCAGTCAAAACAAAATCGAGAATCGAATGAAATGGCGGGACGAAACTTACATATCGCAGCAGATCCTCCACGACCTCGGGCTTGCCAGAAATAGCAGCTGTCTCGATCGCATCCTTGTACAGCTTGTCCTGCTTCGACAGTGCAATCGATTTCTCCCAGCGCTTGTTCTTGCGGTAGATATTCGCCGCGATCTGGCGGAAGAACACCAGGTCGTGCTTCTCCAGCCGCTGGGCCAGCTCGACCGCGTCGTAGTTGTCGTAGTTCTCAACCGAGTCCCGCAGCGTCTTGTAGTCTTCCTCCTCGATGAGCAGGTCGTTGATGGCGTCGTTGACCGCCCGCTTGTTCTGATTCTGCACACTCAGCAGGAATGGCTTGATCAGCGGGATGTTATCCGACGCCTGGAAGATGCGCACTACGCGGCTGACGTCGATACGCGGTGTCAGCACTTGCAGCAGATCGGTGAGCAAGAGCGGTTGTTCCTCAAGATAGAAATTCAAGGCACGGTAGTAA